AGAAAATACCTTGGAAGTGCTGCTTCAAAACCAGTTGACATATTTCTCTCTCCTTTTTACAGTTATTTGTGAAAGAGGAGAAAGTAATGTTTGAATATAAAGGGATAGGTTCCCCAAAACTCATAAATTTGGAAGTCTCATAAGTAACTGTAATTATGTTAATACTTCATCATATCTGTTGTTCTCTTCAGAAGCCTCATGGAGATGATTAAGCAGAATCTTGCTCCAGCTGTGATTTTCAGCAAAGTGGTAGCATCTAAAACATGCTAACTTTGGACATACTGTTTTAAAGGAACTGCAGAGCAGTTGGTRAACAATTACGAGTTTTGGCCAGTAATCAAGAAAACACCATTAAAAGGATTCAATTGCAATTACAATTATTTTCTTGGCAGGTAATAATGAATGTGTTTAATATTTTAGTGGAGATATTAGGTTTCTAATTAGATTAAATGTCTAACACCAAGTATTAGATTTAAAGAATCAATCACTTTAATGGCTGACTCATTAAGGTACAGAGTCAACTATCTGTGAAAATAATTTTAAAATCTATTTTTCTCAGGCAAGGCTCTCTGAAAAACAAAAGCGGTATTGAATAACTGGATTAGGATGCAAACAACTGCAGGTGTGCTCCAAATGATGCATATTATAGAATGGTCAATAAGATCTCACACAGAAGACAGTAGGCCAAGTTTAGTGATTTACAGTTTAACATACACAGTGAAAGACATAATTTATTCTTTTCAGATGAACAGGGCTGCTGAGCTGCTTTGTTGCTGCAGAAGTGATGCTTCTGCTTTTTAAGGCACAGCATTAACTTCTGGCATTCATACATTTCAATTCTAAAAGCATTAGAAACATCTAATCAAAATTCCACTTTAAAAAAAAAAAAAATAAAGAGAGCAGTTTTCACAGGMGGTTAGGTTTTCCAAACATTTTCAACACAAAGGTGATTGTCCAGCTTATAGTCTCTACTCCCTGTCAAAGTAAAAATCAAGTTTAAAAAGGAACATGCAGCTAAAAATTCAATTATGATTATCCAGATCTCTGCCTGATTAATGAACACCTGCTCTTCCTGCTAGTGTCTGAGAACGTCAAGATTACACAAGATTCACTGGTGTTTTWAAAATGCTATTTAAATATTAACACTGGGAAACACTCAGTTGAGAGATTTGTCTTCAACTCTTTTCTCCATTGCTGGACCAAATGTAGTATTTAGGGAGCTGTGGCAGTCTTTTCTCACTGCTGCACCAGAGAGGCACCTTGAAACGACATGGAAGTGCTTTGCTATGTCTGGAGCAATGAGCTTTGTTTCTGCCTTACGCAAAGTGAGCAGCAACTACATATCTGACACACATCTCCTGAGACCTAATGCTGAAAAAGCTGACTTCAGACAACTAAATAATTAACSTTGTGAATAAGCAAAGGATTTGCCTCTAACCCACTTCCCAAAGAGCCTGCCTGAGGCCAACAACAGTCTTTTTCCATCAGCACCAGAACAAACATCTCTCACCACTTTTGTCCTTTCCCCCATATATTTCAATGTTCTGAAGCTCCAGGAAGTGTCCTGAAAGCCACTCAGCTGTGGAAAAAACATGTGGGAAAACTAAGGGTTGCTCATACCCAAAGGGCCCTTGGTGCCCTTGGTATTTTTGTCTGAAGATACTGAAAGACACTGAATGCCTTGAGTTTCATGTCCCAGCCCCAGGAATTGCATGCAGCCTCTGCACATTGGGGTCAACACGTGTGTGATGGCAGCATGAGGAGAAGAGGTGATTTCAGCCATGCCTTGTGTCTTATGAAGCCCCTCTAGACAAAACCTGGGTGAAAGCAGTGCCTGAGGGTAAAGTGTGTCCTCCTCTCTTCCCAGCTCTGTTAGCACCAAAATGCTCCCAAAATAAAGAGGTCTGTACTTCTGTGCTGCTAAAGGTGTCCCAACAGAGACAAGATTCCATCGCCAGCAATGGAATTGTGTTATAGGTTGGGTTGGAAGTACCTTAAAGATCATCCAGTCCCAATCACCYTGCCATGGGCAGCAACACCTTCTAATACACCAGGTCGCTCAGAGCCCCATCCAAACTTCTCTTGAACACTTCCAGGGACAGGGTATCCATAACTTCTCCGGGCAACCTGTTCCAGTGCCTCATCACCATCACAGGAAAGAATTTCTTTCTATTATCTGATCTAAAACTATTCTTTTTCATTTCAAAGCCATCATAATAATGCCTATTATTACACGCCCTTGTAAAAACATCTGTCTCCAGTTCTCTTGTAGGCTCCCCCTGGATACTGGAAAGTTGCTACAACTCACATTTCTTCAAGTTAAGACTCCTCAGGATCACACAATTAAATGATCCTTTTAACTTAACTAGCCAGCTATTTAGAAACTGAGAGACCAAAGTTCACCTGGGGATAAATTAATGGTTAATGGCCATGTGGATGCACCTACATAATGAAACTTTCCTGTTTTCCCACATTGCTTTGCATCCACACGTGCTGTGCCGCCCTGAGCACAAATTGCCTGGATGTTACCTCCTTGCTGAAAGGCCAGAATGCAGCCACAGGGCCCCATGTGCGACTCTGTACTCCTGGAACCACACTCCAGCAATACCACAGCGGCTGTGTCTCATGCATTTGTATGGAGGCACACAGAGGTCATGGACTTGGCAGTCTGGGAAGAGGAGACCATTTAGTTGTGCCTCAACAACAGCCATGGTGATGTGAAGATACACAGATGTATATCAAAGCCCTGCTGAGAGGGGTCAYTCTGGGAACACTGCTCAAAGCAAACGAAGGGCCTCTGGCACAATGATTTAAAAACAAACCTCTGGAAAGAAGCAGAATCCTGGCAATGCTCCAAGTACCTTTCCCAAGTACCTCTGAGCAACAGATGGGCTTTTTCCAGCAAAGCCACCGATTATGTATAACGCAGACAAAAGGCACAGAGGAGTTCATGGTCCTTAAGCAGGCCTCCAGTGACAGCGAGCTTCCTTTCCCCATACCAGAGCACAGCCCAGAACCTGGGAGAACAGAAAGCTCTTTCACCCCTGCACGSACGCACACGGAGTGGGAGCGTCTAGCCAGTCCTACGCGAGTCACTGTGGGACTGCCGTGGTTTCAAATAAAAATAGTGTGATGGAGGTATGTTTATGAAAACATCAAATACAGAAAAGAAAGGCAATGTAAAACACACTTTCCTTTTTATAAGCCATATTTAGCATTTTACAAGGTATACTTTCCCAAGTGAGGAATGGAAAATTGCAAAGACATCAAAAGCACTGAGCCAGACTCAGTGTCATTAAATGTTCATTCAGTATAGTCACTCCAAAGAGCTGCACAGCACAGTGCATTCTGTATGCTTACAAGTAACAAGAAAGACCTTAAGAATTAGGCTCTTTTGGCAAGAAAATTGCAGCCTTTATCAGTATTGCAGATGTGAATAATTTTCCATTCCCATCTGCAGCAACTTCGGTAGACTGTGCTTCTCGGTGGCATCACTGGGTGGTTTTGCTGCTTTGTCTCTTGCCTGGCCGAAAAATCTCATTACTGATTCTTGGTGGCTTATATCAGACCAACATCTTCCACACAGGAGGTGAGTGTGTGAGAGTGCAGAGGCTCACATGTCTGTTTCCTGCCAACTCCTATCTCCCAGCCTCTGCCTAAACCCCAGRCTAACTATTCCACAGCTTTACCCTGATTACTCTTAAAATTAAATGTACTCAAGTTTTCACCCTGAATCTTTCCTACTGCAGTTTAAGCCATGATACCTTGTATGTGACACCTTCGCCACAGCTGGAGGACTGCAACAGCCTTATAAAAATGTTTGAAGGCTACTACTATGTCTGTCCTTCAATGGTCTCAAGCCTCAAACTATTTGCAGGAGTTGACTCTGCAGCAATGCCCTGGAATTTTCAGTCTCTTACACAGAATGTCCCTAAGAGGCATTTTAAAGAAAATGGCACTGCATGAATTAGGAGAAGGCAACACCTGATGCTTGACCAGGACTCTAAAATGCTTCTTTTAAATGTATCAGAGTTGTACTTCTGCAGATGCAGATGCTAGAAGGTGGACAGCATAACTGTTTCAAAACAGTTACTATTCAGCAATGCAAACAATGCATAAAGCTCCAAATTCAGCATTTAAACTGAAAGATCCTACTCCGCAGCATCTAAAAAGGTAAAATTATGCTAGGAAAATCATAAATACTTCCCAGAACATAAAATCATGTTCATAATTCTTGTCTCTGCAAGTGAAATGTAGCATCTTAAGTCAACTCAGTAGAAAAATTGCTCCAGGTTATTTCATCACAAAATCAAAGACTTGATTTACTTATCCCTTGAGAAGCTGAATACAGTTCAGACCAATATTTTCCATTTTTAAAAGCACTTCTAGTCTAATCTATTACATACATTTCTAAAGTGTCTGTTACTTCAGTTTCTTGGCACACTTTAGATAATATTCACAAGTTTAAAAAAATAACCTACTGCGCTCCCCCCATCCACATTCCTGAACCTCAGCTTTTGTGATTCCTCGGTGTGAGCCACAATCAGGAGTGTACCAAGTGCTTTGTGACGCCTGAGAAACGCTGGGCATCTTTGCTTTCTGCTCAGTCAGAGTTTGTGTTTGGAGGACGGGACACGAAACTAGGAGAACACCGTGATAAAATCCTGCTTTGCACTGAAGATTTCTAAAAGCGAAGCTTATCTCTATGGGATACATAGTGATGGGGGCATGACCCCGTTAGGTACCGCTGAACGTGGGTACGTGTCTGCAGCTCTGCACAGCCCAGCCTGCTGGAGCACAGCCTGGACAGCAGGCAGACGCGAATTAAAGCTGAAAGACAGCTAAAGGACTGGGCTTTTTCATCCCCTGCAATTTCGTCTCCACAGCGATCCGCGCGAAAYGAGGCGCAGGCAGCACACAGCGCTGGGGAAAAGAACAGAGCCCGCGATCGATGCGCTCGGCCGCTCGGCGGGGCGCCCTGCGCTGCCCGGCCGCGCCTCCCGGAAGCGGAGACGGGCGGCGGCCATGGCGGCGGAGCAGCGTTACCCGCGGAGCTCCATCGAGGATGACTTCAACTATGGCAGCAACGTGGCCTCGGCCAGCGTCCACATCCGCATGGGTAGGGAGTGCGGGTGGGTGGGAGAGCCGCACGGCCCCGCTTCAGCTCCCCCAGCGCTTGCGGACAGGTCCGCGTTGCCCCRCTGTCGTGGTGTCGGGGAGTGCCGCGCCTCTCGCTCCCAGCGGGTGCCCCTGTGATACCCCGGGCGCCTCTGGCCTTGAGCAGAGCCTTGTCAGCTTCTGCGCAGTGTTTCAACCTGGTAAGGTTGTGAGTGCGGAGCCAGGGCGCTACATAGTCCAGGTTAAGCATCAAGGGTGCGGGAGCGCGGCCGGCAAAAKGCTTTGCCGTTAAACCGTGAAGGGGGAATGTCTTCTTCTGACACGGATTGCCCGGTGTACCCGGTACCTGGCGTAGATTCAGACTTGGTTCTGTCCAGGGTGATGAATGTTGAAGACAACACATGCTACATGAGATGCATAGTCCCTGCAGAGTCTACCTCCCTGGAGGTGTTTAAGGAAAGCCTGGACGTGGCAGCTGATGCCATGGTGTGTCTGACAGGGTGGCTTTCGGTCATAGGTTGGACTTGATGATCTCAGAGGTCTTTTCCAACCTTATTGATTCATAAATACTAGAATTAGTGGTTCTAATTGCAGAAGTTTAACCATGAGACTAAAGGATTTGAATTTCTTCTGTGAGGTGTTAAAATTATTGTCTCTTCTGCTGAGGCATTTGGCATGCTAAGAGGTCATAGTAATGCCCATGAAATCCTGCTTTGCTGTTCATGTGAAGCTCTCAATTGAGTACTGTTGTAGAATGTCTCTAATCAGTTACCCTTAGTGAAATGGTGTTACTGGATACATTTTGGAATAAAAATGGCTTTGTGCTGTGAAATTTTTATTACCTATTTCTGATAATCAGGAGACCTCTTCCTACTAAAATAGAGTTTTTACCTTGTTTGAACAATAAAGGGTGTCACAGGAGGTACAAAACAGATGATGTCATTAGCAAAATTGCTGATGCACTTAGTAATGGGGAGGGGAAGRCTTTGCAAGCTAGGAGGCTACTTCTAGATTTGGTCAGTTTATTATAACAAAGGATGCCTCAGTCCCTCATGGCTTGCAAGTGTATTTTACCTGCTGCAAGGAGGTAATTCAGTTTCTTGTAGGAGGTAATTCAGGAATAAATGTAATTTTGCTGTAATACTATGTCAGTTGTTTTAAAGTAAAATGGCTTTTTGCTACTTCACTTTTTCACTATGGCTTTATAATGGTTCTTTATGAAAATGAAAACTTGCATCTGATTTACTRTTGAACTTTGTAAGTCTAGGTAAAAAATTATTTCATTTTTTATTTTCCTTATTCTAGCATTTCTACGAAAAGTCTACAGCATTCTTTCCATTCAAGTTCTATTGACCACAGTCACATCTGCAATTTTCCTATACTCTACTGGAGTGCAGGCATTTGTTCATGAGAGGTAAATACTAAGGTGAAATGTAGCTGTTTAACATGTGTTAAATATAATTTATGTAACTTGTGACTATACTTCAGTCCTCCTCATCATTTTTCTCCTTGGTTTAGTATGAAAACTAGTATTTTTGGTGGTGTTATTCATTTTAGTAAATGTTTTATTAATAGTGCTTATTTTAATATTTATGCTATGCAGATTTTTACATGAGTTGCAAAAATCTCAATTACTGTCACTTGTGGTTTTATACTCTTAAGTACTTTTAGAATCTCTTTGGAATGCATAGTTTATAGGTGCCTGTTCCAAAAAGCAGAATCGAATTATTCTTCTTCCTTCCTCCCATCTTCTTTTTCCCCTTAGCCCCTCCGCCCCCTCCCCAAGATTAGTGTGCTTAAATTCCTGTGGGCTTGCTTATTTTTGCCTCTCAGATTTTCATGGTAAAACAACAAGTCTCAGAATCCAAACTGTGGTGAACAGGCTAGGGAAAAGAACAACTGGGAAAGGAGGAGAGCACTGAATCTAGTTTCTGTTTTCCTCCAAGTGCACTTGTGGACTTCTACTTTCACTTCAAAGCCCAGATAAAAAAGGAGGATCAAACACTGCATGAAAGTTTCATTTTCTGTATAAGCTATGGTGTATACAACAGAGGTTGTAAAACTACAGTTTTCTACTTAAATCTGATAATTTAAAATTGTCCTGCTTACTTAGAACTGTTCTGATTTTTTGTTTGCTGTTGGTCKTGTTTTTTTCTTGGAGGGCTACTTGTATGAATTAGCAATGCTTATTGGCCASTACTGATTTTCTTTGGGCAGTTAGTGCCCATTTTGTTGCATTCAGGTGCTTAYGAAAAATAGCTCTCTGAATGTGGAGTTCACAACACTCAAAATATTACTTTAAAACTGTTACTTTGTACAGCTGGATTTTCTTCTTTGTATGTGTTAATTTCCAGGTAACAGATTCCTGGGCAATCTTTAGCTTTAGTATGAAAAAGTTGCCTTTACTTGTGATTGTACTATTTTTAGCTGATTATCTGTAGTAGTATGTTTTAGAACAATTTTATTGTACACTTGTGTTACATTTACATTGGATTTATTTTTCTAGGTGATCGCTTAAAAACTTGGGTTTATATAAACTGTTTTATTGTCTTCCAGATATTGAAGTTTGATTACTTTTTTTTTTATATGCAATTTTACAGGCCTGCCTTGCTTTTGATATCTGGATTTGGATCTCTGGCTGTAATCATAGCACTGACCCTCTACAGACACCAGCACCCTGTTAATTTATACTTGCTCTTTGGGTTTGTAAGTATTTAATTCAATTACATTATTAATTGATTAATTAATTCAATTTCGTAGTTCCTAGAATATCTTGCATTGTAATTAATTCCTTTGAAACTCTGGGTATGTAATTTGTTTTTCTTGTATTCCTTGAAAGATAGCCTATGTATTTATAAAGATCTGAGTTAACTCTTCGGAGATTCTGTCCATGGGTTTTTCCTAAACAGCAGCCTCTTCAGCATCTTTTTAGAAAGAGTGTTAGAATTTGGATCAGTTTGAGCAAGGGTTTTTATGTGTGTATAGAAATCTACTTGCTCTCATTGTTCTGTTGATGTTAGGGATTTTTTCTACGGAACTGCTCAGTAGGAAAGGAGGAGGCATTCCTGTTACCTAAATTGTTTTATAGAYGGTGTCCAGCAGAGACCCAAACCAGCCATCTGTGTTTATTTCTTCAATTGTTGTCTTTTTGGTGCTAAATTCTGAGCACGTTTCCAGCACAGGCAGGTCAGTCAGAGCAGTCTCAAATTTCAGTCTTCTGCCTAATGTTGTGAGTGTGTAGATCCAGTCAAATAGTTGCTCTTGGATATTTTGGATTATGTAGCAAATCAGTCTTCTGAAAAGAAGTAACAGTAGCTCAATTAGAATTCAATGCTTTAAGAATTGCTTAAATTGTGTTTGTAATAAAACAGGAAGACAGCTTTGCTGTGTAAGTAAACAGATTGTTTAAATGTTAAGTGTGGAAAGGAAGCTGATGCAGACACTCTTAGCTGTCTCAAGATACTAAAAGGGTTATAGGCTCTTCAATAGTGTGTRAGAAGTGTAACATTAATGCTGTGTGCTTACAGTAGAAAATGAAAATGGTATTTTTCTACAGGAGAAGTCTCTCTCTCATTTTCACTTTRTATTGTACTCTTTTTATGTAACACAACTTCCAACACAGTAAGACAGTGTGATTGCCATTTTCTTGTTGAAAATTAAACATGTTTTCATATCAAAGATTTAACAGGAGACCTAATATAATACATGCTGGGATTGTGTAACAGAATGGGAGTCATTGCATGTGAAACCTCCATGTAAATGTTTTATGGTTTGATTTTTCCTTACCCTTCTAATTTTTTGGTTTTGCATTTTTAGACACTACTGGAAGCACTGACAGTTGCCATTACAGGTAAATAGTATTGCCTGATTCCACAAAGAACTTGGRAAAGGAATCTATTATGTTGTACTAATTGCCATTAGGGATTTCTAAATGTGATTAAAATGATAATGAATTCTGTTTAAAAGTTTTAATGACAGTGAAAAGAGTTTAGCAAAAAACAGGGGCACAAGGGAGAAARCTGGATTCTGATTCAGAAATGAACCTGTATAAACTTGAAGTAAGAAATGAGTTGGGGAATCCATTCTTTTAGTATGGCTAAAAATATTCTTTTTCATAAGGCAGCTCTCAGCAGAGTTGATCTTCAAGTTGAAATATTCCTATCTGCCCCTTCAATTTCTTCAAATTGGAGAGTTCTGTACTACATGGTCAGGGTTGAAATGAGGCAGTGTGCGGTCMAGTCATGGCATAATTTTGAATTATGGCTTCCAGCATAAGATGAAACCTCTTCATTGTGACTTATATTCTCCTGATTTGGGGAAAGAAAAGATTGAGGAGGACAGAGGGGAAGAATAAGGTTGCACTTGTTTCTGCTATCTTTCCCATCCTGTCCCCTAATCAAAACATTAAGCCTTTATAGAGGATTGTTTTATTTTCCCCCTTGTTTCAATATCATGAAAAATTCAGATAGTTTTTTTCTTAAGATCTCTGTTATCTATGCTTAAAATATTTTTTTTTGTTTTGTTGGTGTTTTTGTAATTGTGTGTAGGGAAGACCTATTATTTCCAGTTGAGAAACTACAGCTATAAAGTAATTGTCAAACCTAGCTAGTGCAAGGTCCCTTAGTTCTGTGATCACAAATTTGAAATGCAAAGACAGCTTCGGACATAATTTACTTAATTTTGTTCACAGTTAAGATTTTTCTTTCCTTCTGAAAGTTTAAATGATTATTTCCTCAAAAGATAAACCAGCAAATACAAAGTGTAGTGTTCTTTAATTGACAGATTACTTTTTCTGTTATAGTGAGTTTCTATGATGTCTCCATCGTCTTGCAAGCCTTTATACTTACTACTGCTGTATTTCTTGGATTGACTGCATATACCTTGCAGTCAAAGAGGGACTTCAGCAAGTTTGGAGCAGGGTATGTTGTCACATTGCTGATTTGTACAAATTTTGATTTTTATTAAGGTGATTTTTTTCTTTCTTAAAGTGAGCTTTGCAGGTATGATAAGTAGTACAGGTYAACAGAACCTCAACTTCAAGGGAAGGGTGAGGGTTATTTAAAATTATTGATTTTACCCCGTTCTGATCTCTTGCTAAATTCTTTTCAGTGATTATGAGTCTTAAAACAATTAGAAAACTAGTTTACTTGGATTTTTCACTGAGAAAGAAGGCAGGTGTTTCAAATATTTAAAAAAACATTAAAGTTAGAACATAACTTTTGACAGGTTTATAAAACTTTTACTGCTGACACCAGATGACCAGTTGGCATCCAGGAATTTCAGACATTCACTTGCCAAATATATTGTGAAGAGATTYTATAAGAGGGGAGGATATTTTAAGTCTTAAAGGAATTATACTGTTGGTCACAGTTTAATTTATTTTCTTTCAGCCTCTTCGCTTGTTTGTGGATTTTAATCTTCTCGGGTTTCTTGAGGGTAAGATAGCTTGTATTAACAGTTAAAAGATATTCATAGAATCATGGAATGGTGTGGGTTGGGTGCCACCTTAAAGATCATCTAGTTCCAACACCCCTGCCATGGGCAGGCACACCTTGCATTAAGACGAGGTCGCTCAGAGCCTGACCTTTCCCTAACTTTTATTGTAACAGCACAATATAGTTTAATGAAAGAAAATTCCTGACCAGATCCATTACTGTTCTAGATCATGCTGGTGATCTTTAACCATGCATTAACAATTTAGATTTTTGTTGGGGGCTTTCTTGCCAACATAAAAGGGATATTTGGGATGATTGACAAAATTTATTCATTGAAATCCACTACTTGATAAAGAGAATGTAAAGGAGATTTGGGATTTAATTGTGTTTTGGTTTTTTTGTTGTTCTGCTGTTACTATTCTGGAGACCAGAACTTCCTCCCTCTTAAGTGGAGGTGCGTTTACTCATTTAGAGATTGTCTGCCTGAGGATTGTATGGAATAAGAACATTGAAATGTGGTCATAATATGGTGGCTCTGTGTACATAACAGTAGAAAGACTGTTATAAATGTGGCATATCATTATGCAGGGATTTTAATATTTTTTTTAAAATGAAATTCACAAGTATGTTTTTCGTGTTTTGTCTGCTTCCAGCTGTTTTTCTATAGTGAGACAATAGAGTTGGTGTTTGCTGCTGCTGGAGCTCTTCTGTTCTGTGGATTTATTATTTATGACACTCATTTGCTGATGCACAAATTGTCCCCTGAAGAGTACATACTGGCTGCAATCAACCTCTACTTGGACATCATCAATCTGTTCTTCCACCTGCTGCGTGTACTGGAAGCATTTAATAAAAAATAGTCAAAAGTGGTGTGATTTGATTACAGAAAATTGAAGATAAGCATTTGGATGATCTGCAAACTCRGTAGCTCTGCCTTCTGAAGACTGACTCTATTATGTTTGCATTCAATGAATATTGAAACATGCTTAGGGGAAAAAAGGCTTTTTACGTAACTCCAGTTCTTCTCCAGACCATGTATTTTATGTAGTTAACATGCTGTCGTTATTACAGTCACCTTTTTAATCACTTAATTTACAATTGACATAATTTAAATTTTGCCAATTCCTGATTGCTCCAGAAAAGGCTTCCCTGCTGTTCTGTAGCTGCTGAGAATGTTTCCTTTGGGATTGATCATGCATTTGTGTACCACATAAGGGTAGCATGAGTTTGCCATTATGCAATGTTTTACTAAGCAGAATTTTTTCTAGTTTTTGTTTGGTAAAATGGAATGTTGTCTCTGTCAGAGATACTCTGTCCTTGTTAAGAGCTGTCACTATGAAGGGTGTGGGGTTGTTAATTAAAGGGAATGTTCTTCATTTTAGTATTATTTATTGCCTGTCTTTCAGTGTTCTGAAAAATCATTTTGAGATTGATTCTGGTATTCTATCCAATTGTGTATGTTAMGGGTCATTGTGTGTCAATAAAAACTGGAAAACGTTTAGTCTGTTCTTGCAGTAGAGGCTGAAGAACTTCGGGGTGCTGAGAATGAACGCCGCTGGCAGGGTAGCGGTACTGTGCCTGTGGCTGCTTCCCGCGCTGTGGAGATGCTGGAGGGGCAGGCAGCGTGAAAACGATTTGGAAAGGCTTTCTTGCTTGTCTTGGTGCGGGATTGTTACGGCTCGCTTCCCCTGGCGATGCGCGCTCGCTCGGAGAGTTACGGTACGGCCCGTCTGCCCCCGCGGGAGGCCGGGCGCGTGGGCTCGCGCATGCGCGGACGGACGGCGTGGTCTGAGGCGAGTGTACGCGGGGCCTCGTGCGCGGCCGGTGAGTGGCCCTTGTGTGTGCGCGCGGCCCTTGTGTGTGTGCGCGGCCCGTGTGTGTGTGTGTGTGCGGCCCGTGTGTGTGTGTGCGCGCGGCCCGTGTGTGTGTGTGCGCGCGGC